TATATATAGATATATATACATATACATCACGTGTCCGGCCGTACTGTATATGCATTCGGCCGCGCGAGACCACTCCGACGCACGTCGAATTTAGCCACACATACATATACAAACGCGTTGATCCATCGCGAGCTCTCGAGCTGCCACTTGCATTATACCGGGTGTTAAAGGAAGCAGCATTACGCCGGAAATACACCGGAGAAGAAGATTTGTGCGGATTTTTGGTCTCGTTTCGCATACACCTCAATAGACTAGAATAATTTATGAAATAATAAACTTATGTGTGTAAAATAATATAAATGTCAACAAACAAGTTTGTCAGAATATGTATTCGGCAAACAGATGCACATTATATAGAGAATATGTATTACGCGTGGTATTTGCAAATTAATATTGTGTGATTTTTTATCGTTCAATTTAAAATATCTAAATTTTAAATAAATTTTAAAAATATCTCTGATAAATATAATTACATTTCCAAATAATTCTTATACGTAGAAGTAATAATTGAACTACAATAATGATAGTATGTATATAAAATAATTATTACAAGTATTGATAACCACGTTCTTTTCTTTCTCTATGAATATTAACTAGTTGCATTGTTGGATGCACTGTCTTCAAATAAAACGATTAGCAAATGAATTAATTCGATTAGCCGTTTAAAAATCAAACAATTGCATAACATTATTCTCTCTTTCTCTCTCTCTTTGAAAATTTATCTTAATTCTGTGTTTGTATCTATTGTCGTCCAGTATTAAACGCGTACTCGAGGCTCACGCGGACACGCATTGACGAAGCAAATTAACGTTGAAGCTCCTAATAATACTATCGCATCACGTTCCAATCTGTAATAACTTTGTCTATTTAAGTATTAATTATACAGAGAACATTCTTAAAATCCCTTTTTCCTTTGACATAACCTAATATGCACAAATCGGCAAATAGACTAATACATGCAAAATAAAAAGATTTGCTTCCTATATATAATAAATAAATGATATATATTAATAATATAATAACTTGTAACTAATATTAGGAAATATTTAGACAAACAGCAATAAATACCAATGTAAAAGTGCGACGATTCTGTCTTTCTTACTCTCCCGCTCTCCATGTTATCAGAAGAATCGTGTTGTTTTTTAACCATAATGCATCAATCATGGAGAAGTCGTTGACGCTTGCATTTCGAATCGATGTTTTCGCAGCCGGTTAGTACGATTGCATGTACGCGAATGTAAAAGGAGGTCATGGTACAACCAAATAGCAATAATAATATAAGTCTGCGTCCCTCCGTCCGATATTCTCAAACTAGAAATCCTAACGCGGTTGCGCGCGTATATGCTGGCTACATCTGGCGGTGCAATAAGAAATGCCGTAATGCAATTTCAGAACTCTGCAATATCAACAAATGTTGCTCAGATGATAAGTTAGTCAATTCTGGACAATAGATATATAGAAAATGATCTTACCATCGATTAACAATTCTATATCAACATTAAAAAAAGAATTCAAAGTATCACAGATGATTGTACTAATAAGAAATTTTAGAAATGAAGTTTCTTGTTGTTGTTATTTGCATCTATTAAATATTGAAGTGACTTTCAATTTGATAACTACTGTCATGATGACATTATTTCATCATTAAAATATGCCATGTCTGACCGATAAAAGTGATTAAAACAAATTAGTATTTTAACACATTTAGACATTAATAAAGTATGGTTTCGATGATACAAATGATCACATTATACTATTAAAAATAAAATAATTGCAATTAATTCTTAATCAAATTAATAAAAGCTATAAAATATTTATAATCGTAAATCACATCTTTTTGTTCCATTTGATTGATGATATTTCAATTATAATATATTTTTAAGATATGCTGTTTCACAATTAACTTTTTAAAAATAATAAAAGTAATGTATATAATATTAAATACCGTGATAAATGTAATTGTATTGTTGTTTTCTGCCGCCATCCGCCACGTAACCTAACCAAATCTGAACTGTACATTGCTCTCTGACTGCATCTGACTGCACCGTTGAAATAATACTTGGAATCGCCGACAGATAACGCGACATACCTCTAAACAATGCAAAAACATCAATATTTCTGGAACAAATCAGCAACTATAAATATCATTCCATCTCGTATTAAAAACTAAATAAGTTTTATATGTCGTATGAAATGTAATCAATCTTATGCTTAAAATTTTCGATAATACAATTACACGTTTTGACAAAAAAAAATGCATTTGTTTTATGGATGTTATTAACGACTGCCTTGAAGCGGAAATGACGTGGAATTGAGAGGGAAAGTAATATTTTCAGGAGAGAACATGTAATCTCGACGGATTAGATCGGTCTTATTAAATTTTTCGTAAGCTGATCGAGCATATGTAAAAATTGCATGCGATCGATCCGTCCAATATCGCATCATTGCGAACGCAATAGCCGGGCAAGATGCCGCGTGGCCAGATGCATTCGCGAGGTTGGTACCTCTGTGTTAACACATTCAAACAAGCGTGGCGGCATTACGTTGCTACACGTCATCAATAAATAACACTCAGAAATCGTAAAAAATGCAAGTGCATATTTCAAGAAAAAAGATATTTTAAATCTCTACAATGGAAGTTACGAAATAAATTAATAATACGATATTTTGCCAAGATATTTGACTCATAAATTGATGCGCTGAGTACAGTACAGTTAATGCCGAAAATAATATTGACGAATACGGCGAGCAAGTCGCACGGACCGTTTAGATGATAAAATCAGGCAAGGCGCTTCATGAGAAAACTCTTTGTCACGTCAAACTAACACGATTATGTGATTACAGTATCGTCGTACGATGTACCTTTTCGGAGATATGGATCCTCCAAGTTCATTTATTTCGATGAGTGTGTCGATACTTTTGGCCATTACTGTACCACTAACACAATGAAGGAACTGAATCGTCGTTTCTGCCGCCGCGGCCTGTTAAAATATCGCGCTGATTGGATGCGATTATGTTTAAAGGATGACTTTTTGATATGCGAGGAATTTCTACGATACAAGTCGCATGACGGATTCAACGCACGTCGACATCTACTGTTTTCTATATAACATACACATACATTGTTTTAAAATTGTACGTTACATGTTGCGAATATGGGTTATGATAGTTCAATAAAAATATTAATAAACAATAAAGTAAATAATGTAAAATGTTCAAATGCTTGCAACAGCAAAGTGAACACACCTATTTTTACGCATCGATGTCCACCATCGTCATTTTCTCAGGCAGTTCTTTCGTTTGTCCCTTAATGATATCCCTGGAACATGTACTGATTGTCATATGACGCGAGTAGGCGCTCAACGCTACGAAACTCCAGAGTATGCTTGCCGCTTGTACAGTCATTAACGAAAATCTCGCGCAGCTCGCGTTGAAGGATCGTGTATCGAGCCGTTAAATCGCAATATTGTGCCAGGGGCGTCATGAGAAACTTGTAGAGAAAAAAAAGTTGACCCGATTTGGTGTATATAGTATCCGTCTTCAGGCCCGCGATGAAGAGTTATGTTCTGCCAAAAGTCCTTTTTCTAGATACACCGCCGTTCAACAGCGCACGCGGACTGTACCGTGGACGCCACCGTCAGCCAAGAGCGGCCGCTTGACGTACAGTTTCATTCAGAAGTGTGCCGCGCAAGTCGTATGTAAAGTCCGAATTGGCACACTCGGATCGCCGAATTACGCGTGGGGCGTCATGAGAAACTTGTCGATCATAAAAAACTAACACGATTTGGTGTATATAGTATTCGTCTTCGTGCAATCGTTCTCGAGTTATTTGCGATCAAAGTCGCGTCCTGTTTGTGTGTTTCACAGAGCTGCCAACACTGACTGTACCAACGGACGCTACGGGAGTCCGCAGCCGGCATAGGCTCAGTTGGCAGCAGTACGCACAGCGAGTAGCATCTACCATGGCCGATATCTCAAAGGACGAGCTACGCAAGGAGATCACCGGTAAGTGATGATATCACACGATATAGGCGATTTCGGAGCCGAATTACTGCGGAATCGAACTTCTCACGGGCGTACGCGCGCGTTGCGCGCGGCCACGGCATCGGGAATACAGGCGAAATCGCGGTCTTTGCTCTTGCGACGTGACGACTTTAGCGCGCACGTATGTGCCCGAGTGGCGTGCCCCACGCCGGCCATTGCAACCGCGACTCGCCGTATTTTGTCACCTACGTATCGGATTAACAAGGAGATTGGACGATTAATCGCCGCGTGCAATCCGCTCGCGATTTTCGAAGCAGCCACTTCGGTGTCCTGGCGAAAAGTCGGATTTTTCGTCGTTCGCTATAAAAAGATAGCTTTCTCGACCCGTCCTTGCGGCGGGCCGTATGACGCGTCTCGAGTATGTGTGGTGGCGCGCGCCTATCAGCCACATTCACATTCACATATTCGTGTCTCGCTTCCTCACTCTCTCCTTCTCTCTCTACCGTACTCTCAATATCGCGTCGCAACGGATTTTTACGCCATTAGAGATAAAAAAAAGTGCGTATTCCTGCGCGAATCTCCTTCGAGAAAGATAGGCTTCTCGTCGATCGGAACCGAGCGCGCGCGCGTACTCATTTCCCTCCTTCGCGCGCCTCACGTATCGCCGATTGGATCGTCATTGGTTATAACCGTCACCGCCAGTACTCTTCTGCTCCGAGATATTACCATAGTTCGCTATCTTTTTCCCGCCGTGTGCTGTAAAACATGCGCCATTACCACGACTCGCCCGTCGCGAATTGTAAAGCGGCAGTTGATTAACGAAGCGCGCGCGTTGGCTGTGCCGCGCGCGTATTTTTTTCGTGAGCAGTTTTCGGCGTGCGCCGCGAATCGACCGACCGAGCGCGCGCGCGGCCTCCGTTTCCCCCCTGCTTCATTCTCCGTCTCTTTCTTTCCCTCTGTCTTCTCGCGGTTTTCGATCGTTTCGGGAATCAATGCGCCACCCGATCGACCGCAATACACGGAGAAAAATCCCTCTGCGTCTCGCTCCACGCGTTGTATCGACGCTTCGTCGCATACTTGCAGATATCTTTTTGTTAGTTGCGCGCTGCTCTGATCGGCGGTGACCGGCACAACGCGCGCCACAACCGCCATTTACGCTCGATATTTACTAGATCCCTCGACGCGGGAAACTACATTACTCGCAAACGTCGTATATATACATGATACAATACCATACACAGCCTTCGCTTACGAACGGCAAAGTATTCATTTCACGTTTATAAATAAGGATATTGGAATCTAATAAATTTTTTAACTCACATTTTAAATAATATTTTCTTCTCTTCAATATTATATCTCTCAAATAATATAATTAAAAAATATTAGAAATGCATAACTTTGCTAAATTTTAGAATAATATAGAAATTTTATAATGAATAAATTAATATTTTTACAAAAACGATATTAATAATGTAAATAAAAATTTTAAGATACACAATCTTATATTTGATAAAATAATAAAAATTAACATTTACCTGATATTATTTATAAGTAATTTGAAAATGTAAAAAAATTTTTACTATCATGTACTAATATCATGTTTATTAATTTTGTTTAGCCATTCTTAAGAATGCTGATCTTACTACAATGTCAGCTAAAAATGTGAGGCAACAAATTGAGGAGAAACTTGATGTTGATCTCACAGAAAGGTAAGCAATAAATAAAAAAAATGTTATCGCAGATCTAAATATTTTTAATAAATTGTGTTAATCCAGTTACATTAGTCAACTGCAATAAAGACATTTATACAATAAAACAATAAAGATATGAAATATAAGTATCAATGTTTATCTTAAAACTAAGTTGCGTGCGTAAAACTTTTATATCAGTATGTGTAAAATAATTAATTTTTTTTATATTTGAAATAAATGTTTATAATGTATATTTTTAATTAAGGCGAGAATTTCTTTATCAAATTTGAATTGATAATTTATCATGTGCATGATATTTCACTGGTATGCGGATCATATTACTACGCCATAGTTCATCTTTCAGCGTAGCATACACTTAGTTATCTTATTAAGCATACGCATTCTTGGAATTGAATTAAAATCTAAGACGGACATTAATAGGCACTTGTGCACCATAAAATAGTGCAGGAGAGAGTCTCTCTGTGTCCAAGAGAAAAAAAGAGGATTTCTGAGTGGTAACTGAAGTAATAAATAGATATAAGTTACCACTTCGTTCCTCTTCTGACATGCTTTCATCTCGGTTTACATATTATTTCCACTTTGATAACAATTACATACACACTCACGTAGAGCATTCTTTCTTTGTAGGAAGAAAGAGGTCGATGATTTAGTCATGGAGTGTCTTCAAGAGAAACAAGATGGAGGAAAAAAGAAAAAGAAGGCTGCTAGTGAAGAGTCTGAAGATGGCGAAGAGGAGGAGGAAGAAGGATCTGAAGAAGAGGAGGAGGAAGAAGAAAAGAAACCAGCCAAACGAACTCCTGCTAAGAAAACTACTAACAAACGCAAGAAGGGTTCATCTGATGATGAAGAAAGCGCCAGTGATGATGATGCTAGCGACGAAGAGTATAGCCCAAAGAAACCTAAACCTGCACCCAAAAAAAGTAAGGCACTTGTTCCGGCTGTAATATTTTATTGAGTTATTTTACATTAAAAAATCTGTCGAAAATGTTATATCTCAATATTATTAAATATTAATATTTATTTTTTTTATAGATAAGCCCGGAAAGAAAGGAAAGAAGAAGGGAAGTGATAGTGATAGTGATGAGGATTGGGGTAAAAACAAGAAAGCTCCAGGAAGTACAGCAAAGAAAGGAGGTGGTGGTGCTGCCAAAGGTAAAGGAGGTGGTTACACACGTGCTATCACATTGTCTCCAGAACTTGCCGCGGTTGTCGGTGCAGAACAAATGGCTCGACATGAAGTCGTGAAAAAAGTATGGAGTATCATTAAAGAAAGAAATCTTTATGTAAGTATCATTCACATATACCTAAGATTTTTTATATTTGTGCAATATTTTTTTACTATTACAATTATATCGTAAAGTAAATAAATCCTTATCAATAAAAATAATGATTGTTTTTACAGGACCCTAAGAATAAACAATTTGCAATTTGCGACGAGGAATTGATGAAGGTAATTGGAGTGAAGCGCTTCAGAACTTTTGGTATGATGAAATACCTCAAAAATCACTTTGTAGATTAAATCATCCTCCAATCCTGATCTCCGACAAGGTATATATATATATACATATAACATATTCCAGGGTGCATCTCGTGCATCTTTCCATCTTTCTCACACGATACAACATATTTACATTTACATAAAACACAAATGTATTTCCTGCGACTTAAGACTTTAGACCATGTTTACATCATTCCGACGTATTCTGTCGCCTGTCGTAACCGTTTTGTCCCATCGCTTAGCGCAATATCGTATGTTAATCTTATTGACATTACTTTTGACAAATGTTAGAAATAACATTCAGATATGTAATAAATAATCGCGAGTATTCGGTAACTTAACGGTGACGACCTGACGTTGGGACAATTGTTACCATGGACGTTCAGATAATATCGAAATGTAAATGACATTACAGTGGCCAATAGTCAATAAGCCGGTTTTAAGTCATCTGATTCAGGATAAATGTTATATCATTTGTATGGTCGTTATTAATAACAATATCTTACTCCAAACATGATAACATCTCATGCTGTTATAATAGCAATGGCATTTAAATGAACTAGAAAAGCATATTTGAATTTGAAAGTAATTCTTTTAATATTTGAGAAGCTCAATTTTATCCCGTGACATTTCAACTGACACATTTATTACATTGGCAGCACAATTGCTTTCAGTACATTTGAAATATAAATTGGAGAAACGTCTTCTTTGCATTATTTTTAAGCATCCATATTTCCTTGTTTTTAAAATAAAGCTATTTATCATTCTATTATATCTATTTTGTTGTATCAAGAATATTTTGTTTGTAGTAATAAATAGACAATATAATGTTACATCATCAATAACTTTAAATGATTTAGTATAAAAATACCATATTTTTATAGTCACTGATGATGTAACATAAATTTATGAAATTTTTATCGTTAAAGAAAATATTTTGATTTAATATCTTGTTTTTTTGAAAATATTTTTTTTAATTAATAAAAGATAAATTGATATAAACAAGGAAAATTATTTTTACTATCTTTTAGTACGAAAATACTATATTTTAAAAATACTATATTTTCGTACTAAAAGATAGTTAAAATAATATTCCTTGTTTATATATTTTACTTTTACTATTAAAAAAATATTTTTGTAAAAATAAGATGTATTAGAATGACAATTATTTTTTTTTGCATTTGGGAAATATATGTGGATGTTCGAAAAAAAAATACAGAGAAGCAAAGCGAAAATCAACATCCTGTACCTCTTCTGTATAATAGCTACCTTATACACATGAAAATGTAAGCAAAGTTTAATTGTATTATCGTGTAATTACTAATTATTGTCGTAATATAGGTTTCTTGGTGTAAAAATTGAATCTAACGTTTAAGATCTAATGATAAAACGATGTATCCATTGAAAGGTACGATATAAGCATATTAAAGTCACAACGCAGTAAGCAGCGACCACTGCAATGAAATGTAGGAAAATAATAGGCTCTTGGAGCGAAATGCGGAATCTTAACCGCATATGTCTATCCGAGCTTCGGTATATGTAAAATTTATGTATTTTGAATATAAATTAAAGAAATGCTGGCCTAAGTCACGAGGAAAGCCACACGAATGAAAACTGCAGTTTTCAATAAAGGAAACATATGCGAGGAAAATGTGTATGGATTGATAAATTATAATGCCAATTTCTTTTCTAACTAAAGAAAAACATGATTTAAACTGTAATGTTCCGTGAAATGTATTTGGAAGTATCATTAAAAAGTATTGCTTTCATTTTTTTTAATCGCGCGTAATTTACATCGTTTATTTCCTAGCACTCCTTTAAACATGGTCCAATACGTATTCCCTAATGATCTAAATAAATATAGCTATAAGTGACTGATTAATGTTTTAAATATGTAATTTGGTTAAAATATTTCATCATTTTATTTAAATAACTCACATTGTTAATATTGAAGCATTTATTTGCTTGTATACAAGATTACATATATAAGGTGTCGTAAGAAATTGATTTAAATTTTATAAATGTTCGAGTCCGTCTTCTAAGAACGATATAACATGCTGATTATCATCCCGCCTGCCTCGCAATCCGAATATAAATGTCTTGAGATTCTTTGTGTTTGTATAGTTATCTCTTCTGGTTTGAACTTCCTTATCCTGAGACGGAGCCGCTTGCACGTAAACACCATATCGAAAGTGCGAGTTGAATGTCTGCGTACTACGCGTAACGCACCGACTTATAGTTGCCTGATAAATCATATACGAAATCTAAGCATTTTTTTATTTACAAAATTAAGATGCGACGCAAAAGCAGTATATATGCTATATTATTATGTTGCAATAATATATATCAATTTTACAAGAAAAAATACATTACATTAAAATTATCATTGATCGACAGAATATAAATATATAAAATAATATTTTATTTTGATCAGATATAATTTTCTTATAATATTGGTAAAGTTTGACTCACCAGACGTAATGCTTTTCGCTTTAACTCCCAAATGCTGGAAGTATAATTTTTATCGATATAAGGTGGAAGTATATGAACATCCGTTTGAACTTTCTGATTATGACGAACTTTCAACTGTAATCCTTTTTCTGTCAACCTTGAAAAGAGTATTTTTTTTTTTACATTTTATCTAAGTAAATAGAATACAGTTATGGTCAAGAACTCACTCTTCTTGGCTTTGCATAGCTTCGATTTCCTCGTGCAGTTGGAATAGATGGATGTACTCCGGATGATTACGTACAAAATCGAGCACTTCATAAACATATCTACCAACAATCAGCGCTAAAGAATCTATCGATTAATTTTATTTTTACAAAAATACCTGTCGGGATTTTCTCCAAACTTGACAGCTGCGTCGGGCGATTTAAAGGCATAATATTTCCCTCTCCATTTTGCTACACCGTTATTTGGATTTGCCGGTATTAGAGCACCTTTGCCTGTAGCGAATGTCCATGCACAGAATCCTAAAAACTAATATTAATGTTTTTTTTTTCCAAAAATTTATTAAATAAACCGCATAAATTGTATGAAGATAAATACTTTTATATTTCATGAACTTATAGAAATATAAGCATAAATAATTATTTATTATAGTTACCTCCAAATTAATTTTTTCAAAGTCCTTAGTGACGTTCGGATAGTATATCAAGCACTCACCACACTCTGCTGTAAATCACATATTTATCCTACATAAATATTTGTGCGATTGAAATGAAATTGATAAATATTTATCTGAATTTAATTTTATTTTAATATTAATTTCTCTAAAAAAATATAAATACTTATTAAATTGCCCATGGAACGTTCCAATCTTTCAGCATCAGTAAGAACATCCACGTCCTCAGCTATGTCATCCAACTTTGTTACATCGTAGACATTCACAGACTATAATGTGAACAATTCTGAATTTGTACTTCTTTACAAAATGTAATTGATATCTCTGATGAATGTATACCTTATTACTCAAACTTTGTAATTCCCACAGAAAATTATTAATGCTGCTCAAAATGATCACCTCATCTTGCAAACTCATCCATATATCCGCTAAATCGATAAATTGTGGCTAGTAAGCAAAGTATACATTATTAATCATATTGTTTTATTGCATCAGTGATTTATTTTAGGAACAGTAGATTATGTCTTATCTTGTCATATCACAATTTTATCGATAAAAGTATTTCTCTGTAAAATCTTTTTTAGATATAGAACAATTATTTATATATGTATTATACATGTTAGATTTTTAAGAAAAGATTTTACTGAAAATTTGAAACTAAAAATACAAAATTGGAAATGTTTCACTATTAATTATCAAAATAACAAAATAATTGTGATTTTATTTTAGATAATGATAGTCATATTTACATAGACTTGAGTGGTGGGGATAGCCGTTCTGTATCGAACAGTGTCATGCAGTTTAAAGAGTCGTGCTTGAAGACGTTCCATCAAATTTTTTACCACATTTTCGCTACGCTCCACGTCATTCAGTAGTTTTCTACAATGAGATTATATTAGAAATCACGTTAATTTTATATTTAAATATATTAAATGTTATGTTTCAGGAAGAAACCTGATATAAATCTCTTGCTGACGACTAGCCGTTAACATTTCGATGGCCCATTTGACCTTTTCTTCCATATCGGATATCGATGCTGCTTCTTTCGTACTGCAACACACGGCATCTGAAATGTCAGTCGATACGCGTGTAATCGCGTTTTCCACGACAGCCGTAAACTTGTACACCTTAGTCATTAATGGTTCTAATAGCTCGAGAATGGAGTTGCGGGTCTTTGTTAGAGCTTCTTGCAGAATGCTCGGTACTGAAAACAATTATCATTATAATCACTGGCGGCAATTGGGAGAAGCATAATTACAGCGAGATTATTGAATTCAAAGCTCTCGCTCTCAGTCAGATTAACAATTATATCGTGCTCACGATCGTCAATTCCTTCGCCACCGCGTTGACAGTCTCTGTTAAATAGACGAATGCCAGCAACTATGCACATTAATTCCATTAATTGTTCCTCTTTCTCCCGTTTCGGCAAAGTTACATAGTGAGCCAACTCGGAAGCTTGGAAGATGCTTTGCAACGCCACCGAGACTTCTCTAATGTAAAGTACATTTTATAATAATATTATCCATGTCGAATTACTCGTCGGAGATTTTAGAAGAAATTGAATATAATTTGATATAATTATTATGGTGTAATTAAATATATTTGTTATCATTTTTGAATACAAGTTTTGATTTAAAATATGAAAGAATAATCTTTACTTATCCATAGCAAAAAATGATGATACGACAATTAAATACGAGATAAATTTTTTATAGCCGAAAAGATGGGAATAGAAACGTAATGGAAAATCGAATATCATCGATTTTATTTGATTTTATACAATTTAAAATTTTTATTAATTTCATATAATGAATGTGATTGTTAAATACCTTAAAATCGAAGAATCTGTTGGACTTCCCAGACCACTGAGCAATGTTATGACTGCCAATACTTTTTGATACAGCTTTTCGGTATCCTTTTCACTTTCTAACTTGTTAGTTTCACAAATTTCTGCAATTAGGGGTCCAGTTTTCTGATGCAGTCGTAATCGATGTCTTTTGACAGTTTCATCTGAATAAAACATGAAATCAATGACAACAATTCATATATGTATGTAAATAATATTTATATCAAATAATTTTTTTACCTCTTTCATGATAATGCTTGACGAAATATAGCTGATTTTTCAATGTTACCAAACTGGACTTGCTTTGATCACATAATGTCTCCGTTATAACTTGGATTATCCTCGCATTATTTTCTTCATCGTTTTCCATTATTTGATATGTTGGATTCAATTGATACAGAGAAAGCTAAAATTATTTTTAAGAAAAGTTTAAAGTTGCTCTACTTTAGTCAAGTGCATTTTAATAATATCTCGTTGATTATTGAATTACCAAGAACGAAGCCAAATCCTTAGTTACTGGTGTTTCTTTCACTTTACATTGATTTACAATTCTTTTTGTCAATTCCTTTCGCAGACTTTCCATTGTAAGAGATAAATAAGGGCGTCAACGAGGTTCCGGCAGCTGCTTTGAAATTTTCACCTGCTACAGTTTGTAGATACAAACGGAAGCATCCACCCATAAAGTTTGATCGATACTTGCGTTGAAAACACCTATCGTTGCTAATGTTTGAACATTCCTTTGAATACTATTATATTACAGATATGAGAAAAGAAATAAATAGATGGCTTTATACAATAATTATTGACATAAGAAACAGAATTACGTCCAATATATTCTTATATCGATTAATATTTTTTACTCATTTCACACATCACAGTATAGAAGCACAAACTTCATTTATAAAACAAAAATTTATGATTTTGCCCAAATAGTTATACAGTATGTATTCAAAGAGATCATACTTAATTAACTGCAGTTTTATTTCAGAAATAATCTTAAAAACATTATTTTATAACAATTTTCTAATACAAAATTGCAGCACATAAAATTAAATTATTAAAAAATGGACTAATTTAACTACTTTTGCGCGTGTTAAATTCTTTTTTTCAACTTACATTATCAATGTTAAATCACGTTTAACTACGCACGTTTGAATTTCGTGCGTCTTGATACTCGTGCATGCTCGATAGTTTTCGGTGTGACTCGGCTGCGTCTCTGAAAGAGAAGGGGACTGATTTCAGAGGTGTCGCAACAGTCTACGCGATTGTAGCCAGTCGGGCTGGGTGGTCGGTAACGAGAGTGTGGTGTGCGCACGAGTGACAGACGCAAGACAGTCAACGTGCGAAAAGCGTGCGTGACGCGAGATAAGCGTGCCCGTTGTTGTCATGACGTTTGCGTGAGTGGCGGCCAGCGCGTCTAGCAGCCAAACAACCAGCCATGTCGAGTCTCAGAAACATGGCGCGCGATTCCCGGCGCGCGGATTCGCGACGCGTTGTCGCCGTCGGCAGCAGTAGTGGTGGCGGTGCGACGGTGCGGTGCAAATTGGTGCTGGTCTTTTTGGTGTTGCTGCTGGCGATCATCGTTCCTACCGCGTACGCCGAGAACCAAGGTGAGTCACATGATTTTCTCTTTCCAAGCGTTGCGTACGTGCCTTATTACGCGGATGTCATTAACTTTTTTCAACACGCATGGCGCGATTCAGCTGATCTGTTATTTATCCACGGCGACACGCGATACAAACATTATTACTTACTTCTAATGAATTGTGGTATTATTTTATTTGATTCTAAATATTGTAATGTTTAATTATGATTAAATACTGTATAAAACTTCTGCGTGAAATTCACGTTGATCGAATAATATAATTTCGCGCTCTTACTTTTCGGTGCAGTTTCAAGGTCAGTCGTTTGTTCCTCATTTCACTTATAACGGAGTTCTATGTTTTTATGATTTATTATACATGTTTATTAAACGAAGTTTATATTGTTTTAAGTTTTATATTTAAATATTGACATATCTTTTTTCTAAAGTTGGCAGCGCGTAATTCTGCACCAATTCATGTGACGACAATCTAACGCTGTTCATGTTGTACAAATATTTAAGTATCAAAACTTCGTTTTCTTTCGTTTAAATTGCTGTTAGTGTATTACGCATTCATGGGGAATAATCGACGTCTTTGCATCTGATTTCGTTCACAATACATGCGCCCGTAGTTTGCGCGAGACGATTTGTGTGGTTTGCTTCTTCGGGGAATTCTGGCCACCGAGAATTCCTCTGTCCGTTGTTATGTCGTCGTGATAATACTTCAGGAACAGACCTCCAAACTCCACAAGTCGCGTTTGAATTAATAGTGAACTAGTTTCTGTTATTTTATATTTTATACGTGTTATGTATTTTACATATTTTGCACATGCCACATACGTTACAAGATTATCTGAGTATTATTTTGCAAATTAGCTAAATTTGATTAAAAAAGTTTTATGATTATTCTACATTATATTGCTTTTTTGTATACGTGTTTGTGTATCTGAATCAAAATTTACGTTTCATCAAATTTTATAATTCTTATTCACATTTTATGTAACCCTTTATTTTATTTAAAAATTAATATTTTGGAGCTTAGATTATTTTTCATATATATTTTATGCGTTAACGCATATGAAATTAGAGATGAGAATTATAATACAATACTTCTTGATTTTATTTATAATATACGAGTATTAAATTTTCCAATGGAGAATAATTTTCATTTATATATCGTTGCAACGTTAATTATCGCGAAAATAAACACTATGCAAATATCAGCAACAGTCATCAATGATCAAAGGATTATATGCAAAGTATCATTTTATTTTTAATATCGAAAATTGATAAACAAGTTTGACTGCTAATCGGGAAAATTATAACAGATGTATTAATCTGCACTACATTAAAATTATATATAATGTAATTATATATAAAATTATATATATTATCTAAATATTTGATTTGTTTACACTATCGATGTACAATGTTTAATTCTTTATATTATTTTTTTATTTCTTGTCAGAATATTTTATCATAATTTTTAACATCTTCAAAAAAATGCATTCATTATTATGATAGAAAACTGTGTGACGCTCATGAAAACTCATGAACTGAAAGCTCAGACTTTCTTTTTAATAAAAAAATTCAACATATTGACTATACTATTGCTAGAATTGTATATTAATATTGGCTAATAGCAACAAAATTGTGGCACAAAAAAATTTTTGGAATTAAAGAAAAATAAATATACAATTGATGCCGTGAAAAATCGACGACGATAACAAAAACATAATTATATTTTCAGTGTAAATTCTTCACACGCTTTTTTTTAACTCTCGAAGACGATCTTCTATTCTCCAAAATTCGATAAACAATTTGCATAATTTTACTCGGTTTTGACTTTTTCATCTCTTACCGTATTGCATAAAATCTGATCATATTGGAATGTGTTTTTCGCGCGAGCATTATTCACACCAACATTTATTGGAATTTATGTAAAATTTCATACGAGACGGTCGAGCATCGGCGATCGTTTGATTTTCTTCCAAACTCGATTGCACATATTAAAGTTTAACAATAAGTTGCACTGACTCATCTTGTTTTATATTACGCATTTTTATCATTTCGGCTAATTTACGGACATGCATCCAGAAGTGATTATATTGCGGAAGCCATCATAGTAAACTTTTACGCGTAATTATACGCCGGAAAAAAGATTGCAAATTATCAAATAGTGTTCATCGTATTTCCGCAGGAAATTTGCGGAAGTCGAAAAATCACGTGAATGATTGTGCAAAGTTTTTACACTGGAATCGAGATTCGAGAACCGAAATGTTCTTGTAATCGCCGTCTTATCGGTCGTATGTGTGTATAAAATGTGAAGAGAAACTTGTACTCGAACTGGTGATCGAGGATGCATGCTGCGGTCGCCGGCTGCCGAGAGGTCAGACTCGATTTTCCTGACGCATAGAATGCTGCGGTATACATTCGGTTACAGTTGCGAACGGTGAGTGCTAGATGTTAAGATTCGTTACGTCAGCCACACTTTTCTGTTATATCAAAGCAGAATATAGCAGAATTTTATCGCTATCAATATATATTTATTTACTTTAATTCTAAAATTGTTTACGCAACGATTGTGTGATCATCAACAAATGTTATTGTAAAATTCTCGCAATAGTATATCAATCATTACGTATGTGAAGCTAGCGTATCTCCGTGGAAACACATGGACTATTGAGAACTCTGAGTTTATTTTTAATAGAAAGCTCCAATTGTAAATGATATTTTTAGCTTAAAAGGCAGAGCTCTTTTTAGTACTTTCTATGAAATGCTACGTCAGCTTCGTGCACACTAGAAAATACAAGAAAAATACACAAAGAAAACAGCAAGTCAGAGTGATCGTAAGCTTACTTGTTTTAACATTCCTTGTAAAATAGCATCTTATTGTAAATTCTGTCATAAAAATTACGACGTGACTGCGTTTACGTTGGGAAGGACGCAGTGAGTCACGAGTTCTTTGTATCGACGATTTTTCTGAGGTATAAGCGTAATTATGTAAATTGCTACGCGTACATTTCGCTGACTTATCCAATGCAAATAAAACCACAATTATCAGGTAGCTAGCTCACAATACTTAATAATTAGCATAATATAGCTTAAGCGTGGAGTACTAACACTGGTTATTTTTTCGCTACTTAGATAAGTATCGCAATTAAAATACGATATTCAATGATCGATTTGAATACATTCATTACATCGACAATCGAATGAGACCACCAGGGACGATTCCATTATTTTCCTAATTTGGGGAGCCGCGAGTCGTTCGAGAAATCAACTCGATATCTCGATTAACGTTGGGACGTTAAATTTTAGTCCAGGGATATTCTTTTCCGATAACGAAGGTTATTAAACGAATGAATCGTCGTGATTGGTTCCGCTGTAGTTCGGAGCAAGTATAAATAATCTCTCTCTTTCTCGTATAAAAAGGAGGTTTCCTGCGCGAGAATGAAGGTATCTTGACAAAGGGCTCAGTGGAATTTATGTCCATTGTTAAACTCGGGGGAGGGGAATCGCCAGTTCGTCAATGCAGTCGATAAAAATTTATGGGTGTATGTTGAATGTAAATGCGATGGCGGCGCAGAACCGAAGGATTTATGAGGATTTGCATTACGATTTATTTATTCTTTCCGGTCATGTGAGGTGAGCGCACGTTGGCGGCCCCAAAAATGGTCGGATTTAGAGGCTGTTCGCCTTAGAGCGTTAAATCGATCGCATTGCACAATCCCTACACATTTCCTTATATCCATAACTTTTCGTCTGAAAATATAGATGTCACATAAGAGTAACAAATAAAACTTGCGACATTCAATATTGAAGAGAAAGCACAGGTGGACGAAAGATATAAGAAGATAAAATTATGATTATCCCCTGTAATTATATTACGAACGTACATCATCGGTATAAATCTCTGAGATAGCTAAATCTGCCAAGCTTTCGTATAAGCGCGCATTGCGCTCGCAGCTGCATGAAAAAGCCGCCAGCTGCAAATGAGTAATGTCAGAGTGCTCGCGTGATATGTAACGTGGTGGGAAAATAGTTAATCACATTCGCGCAGCGGAGATGGAATAGAGACATATAATCTTTAGGTCGACGAAGCTCGTGCTGTGCACTCTGTACGCTCTATACGGTTTCCTTACAGAGGCTAAATTCCTCTTTGCATCGTATATCATTTCTCTTCTTCAAATCATAAATCTAATTTTTCTCCGTCACAAATCATTCTTGACAAGCGGTTATCATCGAATTATCATCGGGCTGCGGAATACCGTCTTAAATTACATTAAAAATTTTTATTACTCTTTTACAAGACGGCCTTTGTGCGTTCCGTGTAAAAATTGTGATATTCCCGTTTTTCGGCTAAATTAAAACTACCACGGCGAGCGCTCTCTTAAATTTATTTGATAAAATACGCTGCAAAATTATAACGGCGCATTGACTTCATTTACCACTGGCGTTGTAAACTCGCATCCAAGCCTTGCTAGCGCTTGCGATTTTCTCATCCTTCTCAGAATACTCGACAGGCCGTGAAGGTACCGGCAAAAAGTCCTTGAGGCGGCCGCTTGGTACTTCAGCGCACTGAGAGCTGCGGATTTTATCTAACTACTCCTTTTCGTCATTCGATAATTTCTTACTGTGCTTTCAACCCTTTGAACATCCATGTGCTATATATCTTTCACTAGCTTTTGTAAGTTGCCATCATTAAAATTCTTATTGAATTCTTATTGAATCATAAGTTTCTCGAAATCTTGCCGTCTTACGTTTATCGTAATATTTTACATGCATCAGAAATATCATAATAATGAACTAAATAAAATATTACATAAAAGTTCAACAAAAGAAGTACACGAAGTATATTTTTTTCTACCGCGTCTTTCTTAAAACTCGGTTATATTTCTGTTTCGCGATTTTCAACGAGGTATGACGCTTATAAAAAGAATCCGTCGTTATAACGAGCCTGGAGTGTTTCGCATTTCCGGTACCCATCCGAGAAAACGAATCATCTGCGAGTTGAGTCACCGTCAT